TATATATATATATATATATATATATGTGTGTGTGTGTGTGTGTGTGTGTATGTGTATATATATATATATACAGTATATATTGTATTTAAACGTCCCTGTTAAGTCTAGAAATAATTAATTGTTTATTGAGCGCCATCTATAGTTTGAAAAGTGGAAAACATGCTGGGTAGGCCTAGCAACGACGTAGGATTCACGCTAGCAACATATACGTTAGTGTTGAGGCATAAAAGCCAGAATGATTGATGTTTGAAATGTTTAAAAGGTTTCTGTAATAGGACAGATAAAGGGTGAGTTTTATACGAACCTATGAGTGTTGCATAGTTAAGATTTAATGATGATTTTGTGAGATATTAGAATTTTAAACCAAGCGTTGATTACCGCACGTACGAACGTTGCGCGGACGCCATATTTTCTGTACACTATTATACGTAGCCTAGGCCAGTTACACCGAGCTAAACTTTGTACATAAATTTCACAATAAGACAGTGTTTGTATTATTAATATAACATTTATTCTGTATCCCACAATTCAGCAACTCTGCTCAACAGCGTGATAGAGGTAACAGCATTAATATCGATAAATCAAACATTTCATAAAACATTATAGCCATCACCTTGGCTACTGCTTCAATATTCTTTTATTCCCAACCAACCCACCCTCCCATTAATTAAGACATTACGGTTACTATTTTTGTGGCATCTTATGTTATTTCTGTACGTTATTCCGTACTAGTATACAGTATCTTGGAAAAGTGGGCTTAATTTGTTCTCATCCTTACTGTTTACAGCAACCTATAGTTTCTATTCAGATAAGAATACCCGAAACCGCTAGTCTACTGTGTTTTTTGTTTGAGACTAGATCAAAACATGAATTAAATATGTAATACTTTTATCGATGTTAAACAAAATAAAGTTCACATTATATTAAATTAGGCATATTAGATTTAATTAAAAGAAGTACACGTTAATTTGCTAACGTAGGATTGTAGCTTCAAAAATACATCATTTGCTTACCGTTTCTACAGTCTGAAAATGTTGGATTTACTGAAAGGGGATTGTCTTCCTCCATGACTTCCACATTAAATACCAAGTCATCACCGCAATTCGCCTTCTGGAATCCTGCCGCTAAACCAAGTCATTAATATTATTAATATTATTTATTATTATTATTATTGTTCGTGTTGCTCTTGATAATGTTGTTGTTCTTGAACTTGTTACTGTTATAGTTGTTATTACAAAATTATTTACAAACTGAACTCACATATCAAGCCTTCAAGATCTACATTTGCTGAGATGTCATTTTTAACGGCCATTGTCTTTAGCTGATTCTCAAAATCTTCCACAATGCTCATAATACTACGATTCTTATTCTAGAAATGCAGTATGATAATAATAATAAATGATAAAGTAATAATTATTATGTATTGTAATCATCATCCTCATTATAACGTTATACAATAATGATTATTGACATTGTTAATGCTATTTCCATTAAAATTGTTATAAACATTATGTATAAAGAGTTACATTTAAAATTTTTAAAAATATTTATTATAAAACATTAATGTTTAACTTCAAGAGAGTTAAAGTAGATAAGAATGTTTTAATAATGTGTATATCCTCAAGAAAATTAAATTTATATAAATTACGAACGATGGTGGAATGAAACTACTTAATAAACACCATAGCTTTACCTGTTCCAGTGTCATCTTTAAGTCAACCTGTCACACACAGAAAAACATTAAATTAATTTTTATATAAAATTTAATAAAATAGGTCATAATATATATATATATATATACATATATATATATATATGAATATATATAATTATAATGTAAAAACAATGAAAAAAAAAAACTTTGACTAAAATATAACAAAATTATGTATATATTTTTAATGATTGTACATTGTTCTTTTTCATTGATTTTACATTTTATTTCACTTGGAGAGCATACATGCAAATCCACTCCTCAATATATATATATATATATAT